ATTTTTTGACTTAAGGACAAATTTTAACTTTATTGTAATCTATATTTTTATAAACATGTATTAAAATAGCATTTTTGTTAAATATCACTGTTTTTATTATTAATGCAGACGTAATATATATACTATAATTAGGAAATTAATACTAGCTCAAAAATAAACATAATTTGCCAAAACATGAATTATTATAATATACTTTTATTAAAGATTATAATACACATTAAGTTTATTTAAACAATTTGTTTTCACCATGACTTTACAAACATTTTATTGTATTTTTTTTCATTTATATATTAGTGTAATTTATTACAACTACCTGTGGATTCATTTTTAATTACATCAGTGTCAAATATATCTTTAATAATATCTTGTTTTTTCTTCATGTGAGTAGGTATATCATGAAATACACTTCCTGCTATTTGTTTTTGACTTGTTACATTATGTTTTTCATAATCTTGGTTTAAATATTCAATGTTTTCATTATTATCAATAGCTTTCATTGATGCTAATAACTTCTCTTTGTTGTAATTAGTTATTTTTGTCTTGATACTAATTTCATTTGTAGTATTAACATCAGTAAATCTATCATGAACTGGTTCATTGTAAAGAGCTTGTACATCATGTACCATATCAATATTTCTTAATTCTTTCTTTAATTCATGTTTGTTTAATTTATTTCTTGTTTCTAAATCATAAGTCTCAACAAATATATTTTTACTTATTAGTTCTATTTCAGCTATATCTGTTTTATCTGCTATCTCTTTATTCAAATTTATTGAGGGATTTAATAAATCCTGTGTAGATTTTTTTTGGGAATCATTAAAAAGAGTTTCATTTGTATGTGACACCTTTTCTGATTTAATATCTAATGATTCTTCCTCATTAAAAGTTTTGAATGATACATTATGTTCTCCTGTAGAGTATGTTTCTAAGAATGATTCATTTACAAGTTCATTTTTTGTTACATTTACATTATTATGTTCTTGCTTTTCAGATATAGCTTGTTCAAATATATATTTCTTTAAATCTTCTGGGCTTGCATAATCTGTTTGACTATCTTGTGCATCATACAGAGCACACACATTTTCATTCTCAACATTTTTAACCTGCACATGCATTTCATCAATTAAATTTTGATAAAGCTTTTGTGATCCATTCAAGGTATGTTTTGAAGAAGTTGATTTTTCTACTTTTTGATTAGAATTATAGTCAGTATGGTTACACATAGGTGACATTAATTTAAGTGTATTATCTTGGTAGTTCCTTGTCAAATAATGTTTAACTGTTCCCTTTTTTACTTCAGATTCTATTTCTGAATCACTTTCATAAGAATTTTTTCTCTCTCTTACTAAAACTCTTAATTTATTTTTATATTTACAGTCAGAAAATGTCAATTCTTTTGAATCTGAAGTGTCATCTGCACTACTAATTAATCTAGAATATTAAAAAATATATTATAGTAGAATACAATAACTGATTAAAACTGTAACAAACATTAATGTTCTAAATTTTACAAACCTTGCATACAGTTGTTTAGAATTATTAGTTGCACTCGTATCTTTAAAATTTTCATTTTCACTTTCACTGCCTTCAGATGAATAAGTAAGTTCCTTTTTTAGTAATTCATTACAATTCTGATATTTTTGATTCTTATATATTTGTCTAAATTTATCTGCACTTATTTCATACTTTTGAATGTCTCCATGATATTTCTGTAATTGTTCTGAATTTTCTAAATCCACTGAGATTTCTGAATTTTCATTCATTGTGAATTCTGACACCTTAGGTTTTTCTTCTGTATCATCTAATAAGATCTTTTTGTGTGGTGATTTTTGAAGACGATATTTTCTTACTTGTTCTAAATTTGTCATTGTTTCTGTTTTTACACAATCCAAAGTCTGATTCAAATTTATTGGTTCATTTGTCCTGATATTTTTATCATTTAGTTCATGTGTATGAAGTACAGGCTAAAAGTTACGAAAATAAGTTTAATAAAAATTGTTAAAAGATACAAATACTACAAAATGATTCAGTAAAATTATGTTTTACCAAACTGTTGTTGTGAACATCTGTTTGCCACTTTTTGCCTTTATTCAATAATTTTAATGGATTTGATGAGCTAGAAGTTACTGAACATGAGAAAACAGTGTAAAAAAAAGTATTGATTAAGAAATATTTTTATCACATACCTAATATCTCTCAAATTCGTAAGAGACTGTGTGCCAAAACGTCGGATTCTATCAGGAAATAATAATTGCCCATTATAATATAATCTTCGTTCTCTATTATCTAATAAATTTTCTAATGTTCTTAATTTTTCTGTTGCTCCATCTAAATGTTTTTGTGTTTCTTTTCGTTTGGAAGTTTCTATGTGCAATTGCTGTTTTAAACTCTTAGTTTCAAGAGACAATTTCCTATGTAGTGTCTAGTAAAATAATTAAACATATAAACATTATTTAAGAAATTGTTTAGAAGTATTAAGTTTTACATTACCTGTAGACTATCTTGCTGTTGTTGTATTCTATGATTTAAATCATAAACTTGTAATTGTAACTTTTCCCTTTCTCCCAAATTACGATCTTTACTGAGTTGTAACAAATGTTTATTTTGAGACTAAGAAATAGTATGCATATGTTGATTTTTTTATTCCTTCATTATATTTGACTTGAAGTACCCTCAGTTCCTCATGATGTGAATTAATAATTCTTGGAAGTTCAGCATTTGTACCTTCATAGCGTTTTAATGCAGAATCTTGTCTTTTCTGCAATGCTTTTAATAACTTATTTTCGTTTGCTATTTCCTACAAAAATATATATTCAGTATGCTTATAATTATACATATACTTTTAATGTATACATAAGATGTATAGAAATGTGAATTGATATAGTATGATGTTTAAAATCACTACATTTAACCGATAATGTGCATCAGCAAGTTGATTTTGCAGTTCCTTAATACGTAACATTTTTGCAGACAAAACTCTTTGCTCAATGCTATTTTTATGTTTCGACTGCTCTGAAGGAGGATAGTGCCGAACATTACTTTGGTATGGCTGCCCTATATATTGTCCAAAAGTAAATAACATATTACTAAAAGATTATTCTAAATATTCATAGTACAAATAATAAATTAAATACATGTGTTACATTTTTAGTTAATAAATATAAAATAAATTCTTTAAAAATAAAATATCACATCTATTTCTATTGAAATTTTAATACAAACCAAGTAAAGGATGTAAGTTTTTTTTCTTAGATGAAAGACATGCTACGATTTTATGAGGTGAACTAGCTGAACTAACTTTTGCTTCCACTGATGGTCTTCCTAAGTTAGAATTCTGTTTTCTGTAAATTATATACATGTATAATTTTAAAAAATTCAAAATAGTAAATGTTTTCTCTTTATATTAGGAATGTTTATAACACAGTTCAAAATTATTATAATAACAAAAATTATATAAACATATACTCAAACAAAATAAGAAGAACTCTAATTGTAAAATGTTTATTAGTTAACATATAATTCTTAAGAACAAGTTTCTTTAAATCTATTCTTTTTAAATATTCTTGTAATAATATCAAATACTTTAAATTATTAATTAAACACATCAATTAGTAAATCAATATTTATAAAGTGTTTAGCACTGCTGCAATTACCTATTGAGGTTTTTATGTGCATTAAAGTGTACCACAGGTAAAGTAGGCACTTCAGTTTGCATTTTATATCTGCAGATTCTACATTACAACTAGCATAGTTTTAATAAGAACAAATTATCGTATCATTCTCCAAACTTACTGAAGACTAATCAGCATCCATAGTTGTTTTTAGCAGTTACCAAGGTAACGAGTGCACAACATATCTCTAATCAATGTTTGAAACTATAGATATTTTAATAAATTTATTTAAGCAATATTACTTAAAAACATACTTTTATAAGTGGCAAATAAAGATGTATATATACGAGCAAAAGTGGAATATTCCGATTTTATTTACAAACGTTTGTAGATAGTATGTTAATATTTTTTATAAAACATATTACATACGCATAAAATAAAAAAGAATAGTAGAAATTAGAAATTATAATTAGTAGAAAAATCTAATATTGTTTATTTTCATTATTATTCTTTATCTTCTTCATTAACAAAGAAAATTTAAAAAGTTTGTGTTTTCATCATGTATCTATTTACACATAAAACATATTTTAATCAATGCTTATAACAGTGTAGATAAAGATATTTAATTCTTTAGCAATCGTTCGCTGCTATGTAATTTATTCACATATAAATAAATATATACACTGTACATATATTACTATGATACAAATTTTGATTAATACAAGTAGTTCTACATACATTTATGTTTAATGACTTGCTAATTGTTTTTTAATGTATAATTGCTAGTTGTTCTTTAATGCATAACA